CGCAGTCTTGCCAGACGACTCGGTGCCCGCAGTCTTGCCAGTTGACTCGATGCCCGCTGTTCCGCCAGACGACTCGGTGCCCGCAGTCTTGCCAGACGACTCGGTGCCCGCAGTCTTGCCAGACGACTTGAAGCCCGCTGTTCCGCCAGTTGACTCGATGCCCGCTGTTCCGCCAGTTGACTCGGTGCCCGCAGTCTTGCCAGACGACTCGGTGCCCGCAGTCTTGCCAGACGACTCGATGCCCGCTGTTCCGCCAGACGACTCGGTGCCCGCAGTCTTGCCAGACGACTCGGTGCCCGCAGTCTTGCCAGACGACTCGAAGCCCGCTGTTCCGCCAGTTGACTCGATGCCCGCTGTTCCGCCAGTTGGCTCGGTGCCCGCAGTCTTGCCAGACGACTCGGTGCCCGCAGTCTTGCCAGATGACTCGGTGCCCGCAGTCTTGCCAGACGACTCGGTGCCCGCAGTCTTGCCAGACGACTCGGTGCCCGCTGTTCCGCCAGTTGACTCGATGCCCACTGTTCCGCCAGTTGACTCGGTGCCCGCGGTCTTGCCAGACGACTCGGTGCCCGCGGTCTTGCCAGACGACTCGGTGCCCGCAGTCTTGCCAGACGACTCGAAGCCCGCTGTTCCGCCAGTTGACTCGATGCCCGCTGTTCCGTCAGTTGACTCGGTGCCCGCGGTCTTGCCAGACGACTCGGTGCCCGCGGTCTTGCCAGACGACTCGAAGCCCGATGTTCCGCCAGTTGGCTCGGTGCCCGCAGTCTTGCCAGTTGACTCGGTGCCCGCAGTCTTGCCTGGGGACTCGGTGTCTTGCCTGGTGACTCGGTGCCCGCCGCTCCACCTGGGGGCCCGAGACCTGTCGCTCCGCCTGGGGGTCCGGTGCCCGCCGCTCCGCCTGGGGGCCTGAGACCTGTCGCTCCGCCTGGGGGCCTGAGACCTGTCGCTCCGCCTGGGTGCCTGAGACCTGTCGCTCCGCCTGGGGGTCCGGCGCCCGCCGCTCCGCCTGGGGGCCCGAGACCTGTCGCTCCGCCTGGGGGTCCGGCGCCCGTCGCTCTGCCTGGGGGCCCGAGACCTGTCGCTCCACCTGTGCGCCCGCCGCCCCCCGCCTGGGGGCCCGATGCCTGTCGCCCCGCCTGGGGGCCTGATGCCTGTCGCACCTCCTGGGGGCCTGGCGCTCCGCTTGGAGGCCCGATGCCTGTCGCCCCGCCGGGGGGCCCGGTGCCTGCTGCTTCACCTGGTAATCCGATGTGCCTCTGCTCGGAGTCCAGCCCGATGTGCCTCTGCCCGGAGTCCAGCCCGATGTGCCTCTGCCCGGAGTCCAGCCCGATGTGCCTCTGCCCGGAGTCCAGCCCGATGTGCCTCTGCCCGGAGTCCAGCCCGATGTGCCTCTGCCCGGAGTCCAGCCCGATGTGCCTCTGCCCGGAGTCCAGCCCGATGTGCCTCTGCCCGGAGTCCAGCCCGATGTGCCTCTGCCCGGAGTCCAGCCCGATGTGCCTCTGCCCGGAGTCCAGCCCGATGTGCCTCTGCCCGGAGTCCAGCCCGATGTGCCTCTGCCCGGAGTCCAGCCCGATGTGCCTCTGCCCGGAGTCCAGCCCGGTGTGCCAGTCTTTGATATCCCGCCAGTTACCAGACCCGGGCGGTGGAACATTTTGCCCAGCTAGGACTGTTTGGAGCGTCCTGAGGCCGCTCCTTGAGGGGGGGGTACTGTCAGGAATGGACTGGCCAGCAATAGTGGGACTCACCTGCCTTGTGAGCTGCAGTACCAGGGCTGGCCAGCGGGTGCTCCCAGCAATCAGAGACTCAACCTTGCAGCCAGTCAAACACCTGGAACTAATTATACTGGTGTATTTAAGGGACATTCAGACCTGCAGACTCGGCCTTGGTGTTGTGTTTCTCTTGGGCCCTGTATCCTGTTCCTGCTCCCTGTTCCTGTCTGATTCTCTGATGACCCTGCTCTGATCCCTGGCTTGTCTGACCATTCTCCTCTGCCTGACCCTCTGTACCATGCTGCCCGCTACCTGCTGAACCTGGCCTGTGACCCCGACCATTTTCCGCTTGCTCCCCCTGTACCTACCTGCCCGATTCATATTGACCCGGCCTGCCTGACGACGCTTGCATTGTATGTACTGTTATCTATGGGTGGTTGGTTGGTTTGTTTGCACTGTGTTATGTTTTAGTATTGCACTGCGTTTATGTTTGTATGGTTAGTGTTAATAAATTACATTGTTCATAACATATCTGAAGTCTGCGTTTCCCTGCGTCAGTCACACACCTCTGGTCATACCCGGGAGCCCTGACAGATACCATCTCTGTGTGGCAATTTTTATACCAGCCTACAATTTTTCTGACATCTCTATCTGCAGCAACTTTTAGCTTGCGGTACAGTGCAAGCAGATCACAAGGGTTTCCCACAAAGTTTGGTCACCACAAGGCTAAAAAAGGGAGGAGTCAGCAAGCTTGGGCAATAAAGAAATTTTGGTTTTAAATGGAAGGATAAGCAGGATCTCCATGTCCTGTCTTTCATCCACGAAGACACTAAAGTGTAAATCAAGGGGAGGCAGTTTGATCCAAAAACCTCTTTGTGTATATGGCTACAAATCAATTCATGGGAGGTGTAGGATTATAATGACCAAAAGGATGAAGCCCTTCATGGCAACCAGAAGATCCATTGACTGGTAAAAAAGAAAAAAAACAAATGTCCATCTACCTGTTCTAAATGGCCATTTACAACTCCTACGATGTCTACAGGGCCACAGGAAAACCAGAAACCTTCCTAAACTACCAAGAAGAGATAACTGCCCCTATTTAACAGCAAGGCCCTGCACCTGAACACATTTGTTCTGATATAGTCAGCAGGCTGTATGAGAGACATCTCCCTGACTTGTTCTCTCCTACTGAAACAGGCCAAACCCCTCCCCCCAAAAAATGTGTATGCACCAAAGATGGAGTAAGGCATGACACACAATACTATTGTCCCCAATGTCCCTCACAACCTGGCCTCTGCATAGTAGACTGCTTCTGTCACTACCATACCTCACTACAATTTTAGTTAGGGTATGGTGAAGGTGTGTGTCTCTGTATTTTACCTGCATCTAATGTCCTGTGTACTGACCATTTGTCTTTCTCAACCATGTTTCTGCCTGCTGCCTGGACCCTTTGCCTGCATATTGACCATGTCTCTGCCTGAAGCTAGAACTGACCCAGGCCTGTTAATTGACCCTGTATCTGTCTGTCACCTGGACAGATCTTTTGCCTGCATAACTACCATATCTCTGCCTGCTGCTTGAACCGAACATGGCCTATTAATTGACCATGCTCCTGCCTGCTGCCTGATCTGATCCTTTACCTGCATACCGACCACATCCCTGCCTTCCACCTAAACTGACCCTTGCTTTTTTATCAACCACATTTCTGCTTTCCACCTGTACTTATCCTTTGCTTTCATACTGACCACATCTGTTAATTGACCACATTTTTACCTGCTGCTTGAACCAATCCTTTGGCTATTTGCTGACCACATCTCTGTCTGCTGACTTTACTGACCTTGGCCTGTTTATCAACAATGTTCCTGCCTGCTACTTGGACCAATCTTTTTGCCTGTTTTCTGACCACGTCTCTGCCCGGGCACCAGGCCATCAGCATATCCCACTGACTATGGGAAGCAAAATGAATAAGGGGGAATGGTGGACCAAAGCTATGAGGATCAATAACATAGATTGCAGTTATTCCCTCTGGGGAAGAGGCACTTGAGATATTCTTACCATGTACAGCAATATCAAAAGGTGACTCCAGTAAGGCCTGATGCACACAATATGCGGCTTTTAGAGACATTTTTCTTTTTATATTTCTTGGTCAATATGTCCATGCACATTGTGGCATTTAAATTAGTATTTTTAGAGCAGCGTTTAGGGACACAAAAAATGCCTTAAACCTGCATTCAGAGATTCTTGCTGGCATAATTTTTTACACATACCCATGTAAACATGCATAAAAAGTCAACAAATGCATTCTAGTGGCTAGAATAAATGAACAGATGGGTGTGGGATTCTCCAAATCGGGTGCTCAACCTTTGGAAGAGCGAGGGCAACTTAAAATAATTTGGTAAACAGTCATGGGCCGCAATGAAGTGAAATGGTTCAGAATTTAGAATTTTTGTATTTTGAAAGAGCATAATGAACATTTTCTTCCTGCAGTCACTGAATGCTGACAGGAGGGAGAGGAGGAGAAGCCAGCTTTCAGCAATGTAGGAGGAGAATGGAGAGGATTAGCTCCTGTATATGCCACCCCTGCAGCCCCTCCTGTCCAGGTGTAAAACAGAATGTGACAGGGAGGCCGCACTGACCCCTTGGAGTATGGGGCGGGGTTGCCACTGTGACCACTGATGCTACACCAGTGGTTGGGAGTGTGTGGTAAAAACAAGTCTTAACTACGGGGTTTTGTCACCCACCAAACTGCAAATGTAAATGAGCCCTTACTGTCCTGAGTCCCCTATAATCTCCTAGATTGTAAGCTCGAAAGAGCAGGGCCCTCAATCCCCTCATGTTTTGCATTGTATTGGTATTGTTCTGTCACATGTTCTGTCCCCCTTTGTAATGTACAGCGCTGAGCGAACTATTGGCGCTTTATAAATACTGTATAATAATAATAAATAATAATAAGGCTGCTTTCACAATGATGTGCTGCGGTTCACCCACGCCATGGGTGCAACACAGTGCACCTGCAGCTTTCCTACAGGTTGGCTGTGCTTTGCCATTGACTTGTTGCACACTTTCTGAAAGTGCACCAAAACTGCTGGGGATACTAGCAGTCTGCTTCCCTGGTTTGAGGTTGAGGGCCACATCAGAGAGCTCCAAAGGGTCACATGTGGCCCAGGGGTCAGAGCTTGAGCATCCATGCCTTATTTGAAGGCTTTATATTTGTTTTTTGTCTAGTGGTTGAACTAGATTGATCTTTTTTTTAGCCTAACTATTTACCTATATAGCCATTAGAAGTATACGCACATATGCTTCTCAAAGCCATATACTTGTAAGAACCAGGGGCGGACTGACCATTTGGAAACTCGGGCACCGCCCGAGAACCTGGGGTCAGTAGGGGGCCCCATGAGATGCCCCTGGTACCTTTTTCATAGGCTTTTTTGAGTTTGGGTGATGACACAGGGCCCCATGATCCCCTATTTGCCCGGGGGCCCCATGAGTTGTCAGTCCGCCCCTGGTAAGAACACACAAATGCATGTGCCAAAAAGCATTTTTAAGCTGGATTTGTCTGCCAGCCTATGGCAGAAAGGTCCAGTGTACATAAGAGTATTTATGTCCATGAGACCTAACTGTAGTAATTGAGGTTCCTGAAGGACACATGACCATAATTTGAAGCTAGAAGAAAAGAGGATTAACCTTCAATTTAGGACCAGATCCAGCCTGTCTGATCTGGGGGTGCAGTAAAAAAAAGTCATCTGGCATAATGTCAACACCGTTTGTGAGTCACTTACACGCTGTTGCATAGTGTGACAAGGATGTAACCAGTATTCCCTGTTCACTCGATGTGCTTCTGTACCACAAGTCATGACCCAAATGTAACATCTAACACAACTTCCAGGTAGTGTAAAGACAATGCAGGAGTGATCTCCTCTATGTGGCTGCTACAAAAAGCGCATTTCTTAGGCTGAACGTTAGATTAGGATAATTAAACAGAACGTGTGCCTCTTTATATCAGGTGTCCCAATCAGAGTTTCCTCTTACATCAGGCTCCCTCACCAGAGCCCCCCCCTTATATCAGAAGTCCATATCAGAGTGCACCCTTACATCAAATGCCCTCATCACAGTGCCCCATACATTTCTGCACCAGGCAGAGGGTAGGAGCTAGAAGGCAAAGCAGGTTCAAGTTCCATCCCCCTGTGAATGACTGGGACAGGGCCACACACATAACACCATTGGTTTTTAGGACAACGGCAGCCCTAGCAACCAACCACTGCAGGGGAAGGGGGAGTATCATGGACTAGCTCAGTGGATGCACTGGTCTCAGAGACCTGGGAGGGGGGCACGAGTAGAATCTTGGGGGGACAGAGTCCAACCAGCACCCCCCTAAATCTGTCCCCCTTTAGATTGCAAAAGGGGTTATTTACTGTTAGAGCAGTGTAAATGTGGAACTCCCCTGCCCCAGGAAGTGGTACTAGCATAGAGTTTCAACAACTTATACAAAAGAGAGTAGCAGCTCCATCTGAGTGCAGCAATAAAGGCAAATTTATTTCTACAAAAATTAGCTACTCACAATAGTAGTAGTCAAACGAGTGCTTGTCAAACTGGTGTCAACTGCTTTGCAACTCCTGGCCAGTCCCGCTGCAGGTAGGTCTCCAATGCACAGTCCTTGGCTGTGCTGGTGGTCACCAGTACATCCTGGTCGGTGTAGATCCTCAGGGCAGATAGGTGTGATGTCAAATCTCAGCACATGCATGCTCCTTCATCAGTCATACAGGGGTGCATATATTGGCAAATGATAGTGGCGGTCTGTAGGTCCTAACCAGCTCATGGAGAGGTCAAAGTGTCATCATAGGTTAGTACACAAAAAAAATATCAAGCCTCCACTCTTAATATAAAATACAATAAACATATAAGGATATTAAGGGAAAATTATGCAAATTAGGCATGTGTCTCACTATGCACTATAACATAGAGACCAGAAGGGTTCTGTATGAATAAATAAAGAGATATGTAAAAATAGAAATGTTTATACATAAACAAGTGGATCCATATTATTGAAAATGTGTATACAAACATTTTAGATGATGATAATAATAATGCTACCTATGCCATTAGCGATAATGAAAATAATGTAGAGCAAAAGAAAATACTGAAAGAATAGAAACATAATAAGAATCATGGAAGGATGGCCATCTATCAGAAATATTAGGAAATGGATGTATACGCTGAAGTACTAGAGGTAGGTGTAATCATAGAGTATATGATAATCACTAGCCGGCAGAAAACAAAGCATACGGTATACAAACAAACATACATGTCACATATGAATTAATTGTAGTGCTGAGGAAAAGAGGGCAAAAAATGGCACCAAGAGATAGGAAGGGCGGTGGAACCTCCTAAACAACTCCACCACTAAAAGACTGTCAGCTTGACTCACAAAAATTGGGAAGAACAGCAATGGAGGGAATGCCAAAGCGACACATCCATAAAATATTTAGAGAACTGTGCTGATTTCAAGCTCCTAATTCAATCAGCCAAGGGCAAAAGTGTCCAAAATATAGATCCAAAATGTCTTTCACAGAGACATATGAAACGTTCTGCTGTTGGTAGGCCACAGGATATGGCCTCAATGACCAAGACCATCAGACCCTGAGAGGCATTTTGGTGAAGTTCCAGGAAGTACCTGGGGACACTAAGTTTGTTGATGCCATCCATGGCAAGATGACAGTGTTCCCCAAACCACTTCCTGAGAGTCCGGATGGTAAGGCCCAATTACAGCAAGGCGCATGGACAAGATAGACAGTAGACCACATATGCAGATGAACAGGTGTGGAACTCAGAAATGGGGTAAGTTTTACCCTTTGTGGTGAAGTCTCTGTTCATGTTAGACATGCTTGCATGTGAAACACCTGGTTTAATGGCACCGATATATGCCTCTGATGGTAGAGAAGGACCTATATTGGCCTGAATGCCTTTAATCTTATTTGAAGCTATTTTACTTTTAATATTTCGGGCCCACCACTCCACTCAGGGTCTGATGGTCTGGGTCATTGAGGCCATATCCTGTGACCTACCAACAGCAGAATGTTTTAAACGTCTCTTTGAAAGAGACACTTTGGCCAATGGCTGACTGAATGAAAAATCTGAAGTCAGCACAGTTATCTAAATATTTTACAGATGTGTCTCCTTGGCATTGCCTTCATTGTTGTTTACCTCTTTTTTGGAGGCAAGCTGACAGTCTATCAGTGGTGGAGTTGTATGGGGGGTTCCATTGCCACTCCTGTTTGTCTCATGATGCCATTTTTTGCCCTATTTTCCTCAGCACTACAATTGATCCACATGTTACATGTTTGTTTGTACACCATATGCTTTGTTTGTGGTGGCTAGTGGTTATCATATACTCTACGATAACACCTACTCACTTGATACCTCTAGTGCTTCAGCTTATACATAGTTACATCCATTTCCTAATATTTCCAGTAGCTGGCCATCCTTCCACGAATCTAATTATTTTTCTATTCCTTATTTTCTCTTGTTCCATTACATTATTTTTATTTTCCCTAATGGCATAGGTAGCATTATCATCATCTAGAATGCTTGTACACACATTTTCAATAATATGGAATCACATGTTTAATTATAAACATTTCTATTTTTACATATCTATTTATTTATTCATACAGGACCCGTCCGGTCTCTATGTTATAGTGCATAGTGAGATACATGCCTAATTTGCATAATTATCCTTTGATATCCTACTTATGTTTATTGTATTTTAATTTCAGAGCACTTAGTTTAACTAGTTTAAGAGAGGGATGCTTAATATGGTTTTTGTACTAACCTATGATGATACTTGGGCTCTCCATGAGTTGGCTGGGCCCTATGGTCCGCCACTTTCATTTGCCAATATATGCTCTCTTTCTATGACCTTATGAAGGGGCTTGCATGCTCTGAATGTGTGTAATTTCTACTGCTGCTGTACCTGGATTTGACATTACTTCTGCCTGCCCTGTGGATCCACACCAACCAGGATGCACTGGGAACCACCAACACAGCCAAGGACAGTGCATTGGAGACCTGCCTGCAGTGGTAGTGATGGGCCAAACCTTTGAACCTACCAAAAGTTTGATTGCAAACTTTGATCAAGGACATTTCACTAACCAGTGTATTACCACATCTGAGTATGCATTAAAATACCACAAAGCTACTAAAATACTGCATGAGTTATATAAATTAGGTCATGTGGTATTTTAGTAGTGAAGACATCCTTTAACCACTTGCCAACTGCATTATAGCCGAATGATGGCTAAAGTGCGGTTGTCCAGTTCTGGGAGGGCGTCATATGATGTCCAGAACGCACCCCTAGAGGCACGCAACCAACGCTTTCCGTGATTGCTGTGTCTTATGGACACAGCTGATCACATGATGAGGTAAAAGGCCAATCACAGCAGTCTTTTACCACGTGATCAGCTGTGTCCAATGACACAGCAGATCGCCGAGTAAATACAGTTGCCTGTTATCGGCAGCACTGATGGGCACTGATGAGGTGGCATGGGTAGGCAGCACTGATGGGCACTGATAGGCAGCGTGAGGAAAGTACTGCCGATAACCAGCAAATGACACAGAGGACATCTGCACTGATCTTTAGAGCACTGTTTATCAGTGCCACCCAGAAGTGCCACCCAGTGCTCAGCAGTGCCTCCCACCAGTGCCACCCAGCAGTTACACCCATCGGTGCCACCCAGCAGTGCCACCCAGCAGTTGCACCAGTCAGCGGTGCCCATCAGTGCAGCATCATCAGTGCTTCCTCATCAATGCCCACCAGTGCCACCTCATCAGTGCAGCCTATCAGTGCCCATCAGTGCTGCCTCATCAATACACATCAGCGAAGGAGAAAAATTGCCTGTTTGCAAAATTTTCTAATAGAAACAAAGGAAAACATTTTTTTTCACATTTTTTGCTCTTTTTTTGTTTATAGTGCAAAAAATAAAAACACTAAAGCTATTTGTGTGAAAGAAATTATAAAAATTTCATATATGTACAATGTTGCATGACCACACAATTGTCACTTCTCGGCCTTTTGGCTAAGGTCAGTGCATTTGTGCCTGACCTTGGCCATAGGTAACAACCGGTGCCAGTTTCTCTTGGCCTTGGGGAGTTTCCTTCAGGTGCACCCCATGCTGCTATTGGGAGGTACGCCACCAGGAATGTAGGAGAGCGATCCCTCACCCTACCATTCATTGGCTGTGGGCGAGTTATAGGCGATGATGGTGACAGGAGTCCCAGATGCACCAAATACCTTGAGGTTGGCTGTGGCCAAGCCTAGACGTGGAGAGATTGGTCTTCATTATGTTCAGAAGCATTTTTTGCGTGCAGTGTTTTCCTGTGACCGGTTTGTATGACGTTGCATTCTGGAAAAAGGAAGATCTTCAGATATGTCTTTTGCGGAAGGGCGAGAATGCGGAGATATGGTATTACTTTCCTGTGTAGCGAGTCCAAGCAGCAGATTCCAATAACAGTCCA